ATAACCAGAGATGTTGCTCCTTGTAGCAAGTGCAGCGTACCCATCACCGTCATGAGAGCTGGGGCAGTACATGTGCACACACACAACCCTGGGCTTTGTTTAGAAGAGAGCTGTGCAGAAGCAATAATGAAGTTGAAACAGTGCTGGTGTAGATAAGCCATTGCCTATCAGATAGTAACTTAATTTGATTATGTATGTGAAATGATGAGATAGAACTGTGGCAGTCCACATGCTTGGGACATGGGGTACAGTAAGGGAGTGGCGGCCAGGAGAAACAGGATCTGACCCTGGTTCCCCTCAACACTTCCTGTACTGACTTGAAGTAAATTGCTTGTTTACGGTGCCTTAGTTTCATCATCTGTGAAACCGAGAGGGCATGCTGTTCCTTGCCTGTTTATTGTCTGCTTAGATTTGTAAGCAGCTCTGAGCATGGAAGGAAGTTCTTGCACTTCCAATGCAAGCCGACGGGATGCTGAACTCGATGGGACCCTGATCTGTGCTTTGGTCCACCCCTAATACTAATAAAAGCCTTGCATTGCATGGTTAAAATAAACAGCGAGTCTGGCAGCAAGTGCTCATGTTCTCTGCACATTGCCTGATGCACATTCAAATGCATCTCTGGGTGCTGGCTACATTGAATGAGGGCCCTGCATTGAATGAGACCCTGCGACCTGAGACTGCCTTGTGCCCTGGTGTGGCAGTTCATATGCTCTGAAATTCTGTGGCAGCTGCTTCCTTGGGTCTAAGCAGTAGAGAATTAGCAGCAGGGCTTTTTCTTTATGCCGTCCTGCAGCTTTCCAGAAGCCAGTCATCAGGGTCTTGTCAGCTGTGTTAATGCTATTTTGACTATTTTAAATAGTCTCAGCCCTTGGTTATATAATTTGGCTGTGGGTGACATATAGCAGTGATAGTGGTTGCTAAATTCTGCTGTTTTTTGTGTGGCTTTATGTGTAATTTTGTCTGTCTTCGTTTTTTCCCTTTTTTGTACTAGCACCTAGCTGTTTAGAAGCGCTATCAAAAAAAAAATAGCTGGGGGAAAAAGCTTTATGGCAAAGACATCTGTCCTCTTATAGAAGGGGAACAATGATGTTGTCACTGGTGAAGGTATAAGCTGGCTTTATAGGCCGGGCTTGTGCCCTGTCACTTTGAAGGAGATTCATTAGTTGCCCTACTTTCTGAGCTATGATGATCAAGCTGGAAATATGAAGGTGTAGATATGCTGAGCCTATTTCGTTGCTTGTATCATTTATTTGTAGCTGCTCCTGAATATTGCACCACAGAAATAGAGCTGACTTATGCCCTTCTTGGATCTAAGCAAAGAAGAGGGGCTTGGGTAAACCTCTGCTTATCTCTAGCTAGACCAGTCTTCCAGATCAAAGCTATTTTTAAATCTGAACTTTGAGAACAAACAGAAAAGTCTTTCTGGGAAAAGGCTTTCTGTACCCTGAGGCCTCCTCTCCCCTGTATCCAGGTGAACATGTACACAGCACGAGATATGTATAATGCAATGGGAAAGATGTGCTATGGCATTGCTCTCCAAATTTGTGTTTACAGAGCAGAAAGCTGATGTCCAAACTCTAGCCCAGTGCAAAAAGCAAGCAAAGCCCTGATAACCGCCAGGCTGCTCATTCTGTGAATGATGCTTTTAGCCTCTACCCAAACAACAGTATTTCAGCTGTTATAGGCCTAGCTTCATAAACAATGGTGTTGCTTTATTCGCCAGCCAAGGTCAAAATTAAGAAGATTAAAATGGCTGGAGGCAAAGCTGTTTCCCTTGCTGCCTGTTACTATAAAATCCAGGCGTTGTGCCAGGTCCAGGATAAATTCTTCCAACTTGTGCTATGAAGGGGCAGGGGGTCAGGAAGTTAGTGCCCATGTCAGTGGTGGCATTTCTAAAGGTCTCATACTTATGCAAGCTTGTGACTGTGCAGGGGTATTTGTAGTAAAGAGAATCCTGTCCAGCACCTGCAAACCTTATTGGGAAAATGGGTATTGAAGTATTGTCTTCCCTACTCAAATGGTCCTCGGTGTCCTGATGATATTTGCAGTAAGGACTAGCCTACAATTAAAAATGTTGCTGCTACAGATACGTGGGTAAGGCACTTAAAAGAAACATCTCAAAGTGCAAATGAAAGCGTGTCTATGCCAGTGCATCAACATCTGCACCAGGGGTTGGTCTGGGTAGAAATGCTGCAAAGGTCACACCTGTAAGGAACCAGCACACTTTCAGTGTAGACATGGCCTTGGACTGTCCATTCTTGTGCCCAGGAAAATTGACCCTTCGCCTTTGCCAGCCAGTTTGTTGCAACTCCTTGGACTCTGCTCTGCATGTGTTTAAAGTGAGGGGTGGAGCTTTGCTTTTCTTTCACGGGCACTACCTAAATTGCAGCTTCTCAATGAGATCCATGTGAGTGAATGTGTCGATTCGAGTGGTGTTTTTTGAAGGGAATCTCATACCCAGCGTTTCTTGAAGTGGTAACACGCTGAGACACTTGTGTAAACAAAATGCCTCCTTGCCAGCAGGCTCAGCTGTCGAAAATGCCTCTGAAACAGCTGAAATTGTCACTGTGGCCTTCTGAAATCCTATCACGCTCATCTGCTAAAAATCATAATGTTAACTACCGGGTATCCAGGTTGTAGCCATATTGGTCTAGAGGCAAAAGGAATCAGAACTCATGGCAGAGGTGGTATCTTCTATTAGACTAACTTCTATTAGGTATCTTATATTAGACCAACTAGATTTTTGCAGAAAAAATTCTTTAATTGCAAGCTTTGTGCCCAAAAGCTTGCAAGTAAAGATTTTTGCAAAAATCCAGTTGGTCTAATAAAAGGTATCACCTCTACCACGAGTTCTGATTCCTAATGTTAACTATAGACCTTGGGGTGCTTTCCAAAAGAGGACAGCACCTCTACCCCCATTTTATAAATTAGGAACCTGAGGTGCAGGAGAGAGATGATTTGTCTAAGGTCATTCGTCAGGCCGAAGGCAGAGATGAGATTAGATCCCATGGCTCCTCTGTTCGCTGGACCACACTAATGCTGCATTGGCAGGGATCGATATTACGGTGGAGCTGTAATGCTGTTGCAGGAAGCAGCAGGTATATAAGATGGGAAGCAGCACTACTTCCCAGTGTTAATTCTACCACTGCTTTCATTGGCGGTACAGTTAGCCTGTTTGCAGCATTTTGGAACTTCCCAATTCTGACCCTGTCCCTGTTATGGTGCGGGGGAGCATGCATATAGCAGAGGAACCTTATTGATCCACAGAGTTGCATACTGTCCTTCCCAGCAACCTTGCCCTATTTCTCAGTAGAGATGTTAGCAGTGTTACTGGAAGTCTATTCTTACACAACATGTACCACAGAGCATTTGCTAGCTGGCTTTGAGGTGCTGATAAATAAAACTAAACAGCACTTCTCAAAACAGTGCCTTGCCAGATGCCGTGTGTTCATCCTGGTTTTGTCATCATGTTTAGTTGCTGGCTTTCAGATTCACTAACTGGCAATGCGTCTCCCTGTCACGTGTGTATTAGCATAGCTCATGGCTTCTATACACAGAATAAGTTGCAAATGACTTGGGAGCTCTGGTTTCTCGTATCATCTGCTGACAAGAACCATTCCTTGTTATAAAGGTTGTAGGTGCACACTAAAGCAGGAGGTTGGCTTGTCAGTATGCAGAAGCAGTGGGAAAGTGATAAGAATTGATCCACAAGAGCAGCAGTCTCAGCAAACAGCATTACTGTTGGAAAAACAAAAGACAAAGCGAATGCAAGCAAAATGGTTCTTATTAAACTTTGTTGTCTTAATTCTTTGACTCGTGGCAACAATTTCTCTCTCCTGCACCTCAGGTTCCTTATTTATAAAATGGGGGTGGGGGCTTGGGGATCAAACCAAGAGCTGGAGGAATGATTGGGGGCTGGGGGAACGAACAGGGGCTTTCCCCCAGCTCCCAGTTAGATTCCCCAATTCCCCGATCATTCCCCCCCAAGCCCCCACGGCTTCTCCTGGGGCTGCCAGCACTGCCTGCCTTGCCCCGGCGGGGAGCAGCCGGATGAGCCGCGGCTTCTCCCAGGGCTCCGGCTCAAGCCGTGGCTTGCCCAGATGTTCCCCCAGCTGCTCCCGCTCGCACTGCCTGTTTGTATAGTCTATGTCCAGATAAGAGTCAGCGCCAAATACCTTCAGATCCGGATTTGCCAAATCGAATCGGGACAGTGATTCAAATCGCTATCCCTCCGAATCCTAAGCAAATACTTTCTGCTTCGCACAGGCCTGCTTTCCAGATCTGAGTCGAGGGGTCCCAGTTATGCGTATAGCACATCCTCTTGCTCAGCTCTCCTGTCCACCCATCCCGTTTCCAAACATGGGCTAGTTTTTCAGCAACAGATTAACTCGGGGACTGGAAAGAGACTCATCTACCATTTCCACAAATGGGGAGTATGAATATATTATTACATTAAATATGATGCCAGAGAGAAGTGGCCTCGCATGCAGCACAAGGCAGCCTGCACCCCAACAGCTGCCCTCCGATGCACCCCAGCAATCCCTGCCCCCTGAGGAGCAGACCAGCTAAGCCAACAGATCCTGTCATAGGTCCAAAACCGCACTAAAATCTGGACTTGTCATGCCTCTTTTATGGAAAGCCAACTTTTTGCACAAGTTGGATCAGGAGACCTAGGCAAACAGGGGCACAAAACATGGGAGTAAGAGCTGATCAGTTGCTATTGATTTGTGTTGTTTTTTCTAACCCCCCCCCCCAAACCCATTGCCACACACCTGTGCATGCAGTGACTAGAAAATGATTCACTAAACTTGTCTCAGATGAGAGCTAGCTATCTCCTGACAGCCAGGTAAACGCAACAGTCTGTAACCATTTTTTCCTTTGTAGTAGAGGCCAAAAGGCAAAATTACTTTAGGGATCACATCATGACCCTGCCGTATGTTGCAGTTCCTGCATGGCTACTGTTCCCTGACCCTGTACCTTATTTGTATTTTGTCTTATAGATGCGGGGGTACGGTTGGTGCCATTTTTACTTGTCCCTTGGAAGTAATAAAGACCAGGCTCCAGTCTTCAAAGCTTGCCTTCCGGGCTGTCTACTACCCTCAAGTCCAGTTGGGGACCATCAGCGGAGATGGAGTGGTCAGGCCAACATCCGTATCACCTGGACTCTTCCAGGTTCTCAAGTGAGTACAGACCTCATTGCTCAGTGCTGCCCACAGGAGCAGGCCTGGGTCTGATCTCCTTTGCGCCAGCTTGACACCTGAATGTTGTCACTGCTGATAGATTGGCACTGGAGAAATAAGAATTGGGCCTTATCTCCTTCAAAGTTGAATTAATCCTTCAGGCTGGTGGGTGTTTCTTTGAACTTTCAAAGGAATTGACTTCCCAGCAGCATAGACAAGGTCTCTACAGGGTATTAGTTTCGATAACGAAATGGGATGTTACTTTTAACTGAATTTAGGCTTTCTGGTAAGTATTACATCTGAAGAATCAAGAGTATACGTATAAGGATATATATATATTCCTACAGATTCTTGCCTGGTGATGTATATGCCATCTTGCAAAAAGATGCCTGCCCTCTCAGGTGCTTTTTACTGCAGAGGAAGTGTGGATTCTCTGCCGCCTTGCTCCTGGGACTCGTGTTTCTATTTTGCAGTCCCTCTGTACTGGTAAGGCATGGTAAAGCAAGTGCTGCTGAATGGGCTACATCTTGGCAAAGTGACAGAGAGACTAAATGAGCCCCAGAGACTGAGCTCCCCTCTCTCACTCCCAGAGTCTTTCCTTCCAAATCTGTGGAATGGCCTGGGGAAAAACCTTTCGTTGCTGCCCACCCACACTGTGCCTCTGCTTTGGTCATCAGACAGGCTGCTTCCTGCCACTAAAATGCATTTCTCTTTTTTTAAAGTAAATTAGTGAACAAAGAGCCCACTGATCAGAGAGGAAAAGAAAATCGTAACGGCTATAGTGTGTAGTACATTGGGATGCTCTCCTGGAATTGCGTGCAAGACTGGCAGTGCTTAACAGTATTGAAATACTGCAAACTTGGCTTGGGTGCCAGCTTGTCAGAGGGAGAAGGGGTACATGCACGCACCTCTGCAGCTGCTGCTAGGGGCTGGAAGATCAACAGCCTGGTGTTCTACACTTAGGATTGTTTTCTATAATAAAATAATCTGGTGATGCTGTTTTTTAAAGGCTTGGTCTGCTAAAAATTGCAGAGTCAGCAACTTTCCCCCTGGCTCTGGCTGGTAAGGTGTCCTGTTCCCAGCCTCCTGGAAACACTGGACTCTTAGTCCTGTTAATCCAGGTTAAATATGCAGCCCACTTTTCTTGGCTTCTGCATGTGATTTGTGACTGTCCTACTTCTCAGGTTCCCAGGTGTTCACTGCAAACTAAATGAGACTTAATTTCAGTTCAAGAAAAAGAAATCAGGCAGTGGGTTCCAACTGACGGCATCATCCCTCTGTAGTTAGCCATGGGAATAGCCATTCTCTGTCTGATTTTATGGAGTTTGAACTCTTTCTGGTATTGAGGGGGCGCTGGTAAATGGGGCTCTTTTGCACTTTTATTCTGAAGAGGACCTGTTGTGACAATCCTCAACTGGAACATGTATGGGAGGAGGAGGAAGAGGAAGGAGACTCAGCTTTCACAATAGCAGTTTGACTACAAAACACAATAGCATCAGGGGCTCAGAATGCTTTATTTCTCCTTGCTCTGCTATGCCTGACTTAATGAAAAGCCCACTCTGCTGCCAATGCTCATTTTGAGCCAGTACGTATTATCTACCACTCCTGTGTGAGTACTCAGCTGGACCTTTGAGCCCTTCCATGTCCTTGTCTGGACCGCACATTTGCTATGTCTAGCAGTGGTACCCTCAAACTGTGTGTCGGGGGGGGGGGGGAATATGAATGCACAGCAGTGTGGCAGTACTAGTTAGACCACCATCAGTGCCACGTAGATGTGGCTCTACTGCTCCTGCTTCAGGTGGCATGGAGTATTTGATGGTGCTGAATACATTGCTGTCTAGACATGGCCTGTGTATCTGTGGACAACTTGCAGTGCTCATCAGAAGCCTCTTCTGTGAATCGGACTGCAGTCGCTGCTGCTTCTACCAGTCTTTTCATGATATGTGTTTAATCGATAGAAGATTGGTTCAAAGAGAAACCAGCATTTCCCAGGCTAGCAGCATTGGTTACCTTATCTGATAACCCTGGGGCCCTGGCCCCTGCTGAGATATTCTGAGGCTCCCGCTAAGTAAAAATATGATCCAGATGTCATGCGGACTGAACATTGTTTACTTCTATCCCAAGTGCCCCTTGGTTTGGTACAGGAA